ATTCGACAAAGGAGGCTTGCGGCAACCACATGTGATGACCCCGGGCTGGACTCCACTTCTTCCACGGTGAAAGCCGATCCGGCGATCCACAGCGCGAAGTTGATGTATTTCCTCAGCCACCAGCACGGGTCAGCTCCAGGCATGACGAAGCGTATATCGTCCTCTTCTGGAAGGCCAAACAAAGTAGTTTCGCTTTCACGAAAGGAAAAATTGAAATCGCATCATATGACCCCTTTAATGTATTGATAGTGCTACTTAAAAAAAGGAATTTGAGAAAATTAAAAAATGTAAACATCTCATAGGGCCTCAATTTTATTTTTTTGTTAAACTTTTAAGAAATTGTGGTTTAATATTGTAAGTTTTATTATTTCAATTAATTAGACGTGCACGCCTACCTAAAATGGCTCGTTCTAACACGCCCCCACATACCTACATCACTATCTGGGAAGATTTGCATAACGCCGCACAAATGTTCACGCAAACAAAGGCGGCGTAACTTTTAGTGCCCCCGGCCTCTGCTCACTCTAGGCCACCGCCGCTCACTCTAGGCCACCGTGTTTCGTTGTGAAAGCGAAACTACTTCGTTTGGATTTCCAAAAATGGACACGACTAGAAATCAGTGGATCCATAATTATGTCCCCACTGGATGCAACGAATGCCTCGTTTATAATGGGTGTTTCATGGTTTTGAATCATCGCTCCGGCCTGACAGGGCATCATCACAGTATGGTAAGGGGTGTAACATTTCCGTCACACGCTTGAGGTATTCGGCCAATCATAACTCACTGGATAGCTGGCCAATCACAGCACACCTTGCTTTTCAGACCGATGAGCTTTGTAAAAATCGACGCATTTCAGAAATGTGGGGCATAGAGGAGAAACAATAATGTACAGTATGTGGAAAATAATGTGTTTTTTGAACCTTAAGCCGCATAAACACATTTCATTACACCAAATACACAAAATAATGTTCTTTTTAGCAACATCATATGACCCCTTTAATACAATTTCATTTAATCATTAAAACAGAGTCTAGAAAAATTTTAATGGGGGGGGAAAACAGAATCCAGAAAAATTAAAATGGAAAAAACGAAATTTGGGAATACATTAATTACATTAATTAAATACATAAATGCATTACTTTTTGATTTAATTTCATAATTAAAACAGAGTCTAGAAAAAATTTTAACCTGGGGTAGTGGGGGAATGGGGGAACTGAATCCAGAAAAATTTAAATGGAAAAATCAGAATTTGGGAATAAATAAAACAGAATTTGGGAAAAAATAAAACAGATTTCATAGAGCCCTAGTGGTTGCAATGGCATTTACAGGTAGTTGCTACGGTTTTCTAAGTGGTTGCTAGTGTGTTTCTAAACATTAGACCGCCAAGATGCTAAAGAGATGTGGGTGGTTGCAGTGTCATTTGTAGGTGGTTGCTAGGGTGTTCAGAGTGGTTGCTAGGGCATTTCTAGGTGGTTGCTGGGGTGTTGCTAGGGTTTTCAGAGTGGTTGCCAGGGTGTTCTGACTGGTTTCAAAGTTATGACTGTTATGTATCACCCTATTAACCACCCAACAACCTAGTGCAAAAAAAATGTATTCAAAGCTGTTTCATTCTCATTCGCACCCTAGCAACTGCAAAGAAAACCCAAACATTGTGACAGTGAATTCTGCAATTTTGCACAATTTTTGCCAATACTCTTAAAGAATCCAATCGAATGAATGGCATGCATCCATAGGGCAGTCGTCTTTGTTCTGATAATAATAAACAAAGTTATCGTAATTAAAGGGCCTGTTTGAAGATTCTGGGTGGGTAATTCTTGACTATAAATGAAGTTACTGTCATCACTGATACACCATATTGTCTCAATTTTCATATGTTACAAAAGCCTACAAATCATTTATCAAATCAGGCCATCCAAGAATCTTAGTTCATCAATGAAAATGGCTTTTTATTGTCTTACGTTGCTTTGGAAACAAAATACAAACTGTTGATAGACACTGGAGATTATATCATAAAGTCATTATTCATATTTGGGATTGGTTTGGGTGGTAGTTAGAGAAAGCAACGCTGGCGTTCAGCGCACATGAGTCACTCAGAGAGAAAAATAAGAAAAGTGAAAATGCAATCCAGAAACACGTTTAATTGCATGACAACATCCAAAAAGATGTACAAATAACAACTCTCTACTGGTAAACAAGTGATTTGTGTACATATTTATGTAACTAATTTAACAAAGAACAGCAATTAACTTGATGGTGTGTTTTATAATTAAAGACGGCTGAGGTAACGTCAATGTTCATGCCACACTTTATTCACAAGCTTTTTATTCTACGTTTAGTTTCCGTTTTTATAAAACCTGTAGCAGCTACTGCATAACAACCACTCAGAATACCTTAGCAACCACACAGGAACACTCAAAGACCACAACACTTTAAAAACAAAACAAAAAAACAATACAGTTCAGAAGCAGTCAGACTGAAATCAAACTAGCACAGCTTTACTGATGTACATTTGTTTGTTTATTTGATTTTACAGACCTTATGTCAGCGAAACAAGTGCTTAGCCGTCTTTACAAATTTGTCTTTTAACTTATGTTTTTGCGGCAGCTCTATAGCATTGCTGTTGAAGAGTAATTAGCTAATGAAGTGGATTTAATTATTGTAGAGTTAACGAAAGTTATCATGTGGGTTGTAAAGTTCGAAGCAAATATCAAATCATATGTCAGTAGATTGGGAAGATTTTAAAATG